TATGGACGTTTCTAAGCGGCTGCAGGACGCAGTTGTTAAAGCCACATCGTGAGCGATGGACGTTTCTAAGCGGCTGCAGGACGCAGTTGTCACAGCCACATCATGAGCGACGGACATTTCTAAGCGGCCACAGGACGCAGTTGTCACAGCCACATCGTGAGCGATGGACGTTTCTAAGCGGCTGCAGGACGCAGTTGTCACAGCCACATCGTGAGCGATGGACGTTTCTAAGCGGCTGCAGGACGCAGTTGTCACAGCCACATCATGAGCGACGGACGTTTCTAAGCGGCCACAGGACGCAGTTGTCACAGCCACATCGTGAGCGATGGACGTTTCTAAGCGGCTGTAGGACGCAGTTGTCACAGCCACATCGTGAGCTATGGACGTTTCTAAGCGGCTGCAGGACGCAGTTGTCACAGCCACATCATGAGCGACGGACGTTTCTAAGCGGCTACAGGACGCAGTTGTCACAGCCATATCGTGAGCGATGGACGTTTCTAAGTGGCTGCAGGACGCAGTTGCCACAGCCACATCGTGAGCGACGGACGTTTCTAAGCGGCTGCAGGACGCAGTTGTCACAGCCATATTGTGAGCGATGGACGTTTCTGAGCGGCTACAGGACGCAGTTGTCACAGCCACATCGTGAGCGATGGACGTTTCTAAGCGGCTGCAGGACGCAGTTGTCACAGCCACATCGTGAGCGATGGACGTTTCTAAGCGGCTGCAGGACGCAGTTGTTACAGCCACATCGTGAGCGATGGACGTTTCTAAGCGGCTGCAGGACGCAGTTGTCACAGCCACATCGTGAGCGATGGACGTTTCTAAGCGGCTGCAGGACGCAGTTGTTACAGCCACATCGTGAGCAACGGATGTTTCTAAGCGGCCATAGGACGCAGTTGTCACAGCCACATCGTGAGCTATGGACGTTTCTAAGCGGCTGCAGGACGCAGTTGTCACAGCCACATCGTGAGCGATGGACGTTTCTAAGCGGCTGCAGGACGCAGTTGTCACAGCCACATCGTGAGCGACGGACGTTTCTAAGCGGCCGCAGGACGCAGTTGTCCCAATATACTATATACATATGATTCATATACATAGCCTGTGTGTCAGCGTTAATCGGGGGGAATCGATGTCATAGTGACACTCACAACAATCCAACTCCAATTTGGATGAATTTGCACTCTGTTGTTAAAGGCAGTGTCCAGCGTTATTAATAATACCATGAACAAGCAAACAAGTCACACACTACTGAGTTTTCGATATGTCACAACATCCCCCACATCCAAAAGGCTGTTAAACTGACTTTCCACCATAGAATACAAAAATGTGTACATGTACGGGCAAGACGAGAAGTTTATGGATATGTAACAGCAGAAGAAATCACATAAAAGTTATTCCGAAAACAGAACAAACTATGAAATTACTTGTCTCTCTGTCTGAGCAGCCTATGCTTTTGCACGGGAATAGAATAGAATAGAATAGAATAGAATAGAATAGAATAGAATAGAATAGAATAGAATAGAATAGAATAGAATAGAATAGAATAGAATCAAGCAAGCAAGGTCAATCCTAGGTGTTTTCCCTTGTTTTGTTTGTGTACGTGTGTATTTGCACGTCTGTTTGTCTTGGTATCTCTGTATTGATTATGATTATGATAGAATTTTATTTGGAACGTACCAAAGAAACCTTGAATAATGTCCAAAAATAACAACAACATTCAGGACAACAAAACTTACAGAACTACGACATATCATATTGAG